GGTATTAGCCCCAGCCTCCTTCGCTAACCACTATGTGCCAGCCAGGGGAGAGAGAGAGAGTTCTTGGCCTCGGGAGACCATAGCTATGTCTTCAGGGCATGAAAAGCAGCTGTGCCATGACCTCAGGTCTTCTGTCTTGGTTCTCACCAACTGGGTGGAGCATGTCTCCAGGGTCCACGGTGAAATACAAATCTGCCCAGACAAATACAGACATTTCTCAGGTGCAGAGTAGCCCATGAAACAAGTACACGATTGCCTGACTTTTGCAATATTCTTCTCAGATCTATTGATTCATGAGTCTAAATTGACAAGACAAGTGCAAGGGACGTGAAATGGGTATGCCATCAAGTTCAAAAGGATGGAGGCTGAGAGTCTGAAGTCAGACTGGCCTAAAGGCATAGACTGTCCCATGTTCCAAAATTCAGGCCTTTAGTATCCTCCTCCAGGAGCTGAGCAAATGTGAAAATATTTTTAATGCAAGAGCTGGAGGCTTTAGGATAAAGACTTGTCCATGTTTTTGGACACATCCTTGTTATAGCCCTGTATGGTCTTTTTTTTTTTTTTAAGATTTTATTTATTTATTTGACAGAGAGAGACACAGCAAGAGAGGGAACACAAGCAGAGGGAGTGGGAGAGGGAGAAGCAGGCTTCCTGCCGAGCAGGGAGCCCAATGTGGGACTCGATCCCAGGACCCCAGGATCATGACCTGAGCCGAAGGCAGATGATTAACGACTGAGGCACCCAGGCACCCCTAGCCCTGTTCGGTCTTAAGGTAAAATGTTAAAGGTACACTTTGAATATTTTGCAAAATACCCTGAATATCTAACTTCTCGCCTCACCTTCCTCTACTCCAACTTTATCCAAAAAAGAAAAGTGCAAATTGGATTGCTTGTACAATGCAGCTGCATGCAGAAAGCTTAATATACAAGCAGTACTCTAACAACAGGAATGAGGAAATCAAGTCATCAATGACCAAAAGAACTTGCCTTCCTACCTGTCCACCAGAAACAGTTATGTCTCATGAGTGTACAGACCTATGAAAATGATCTACATTTAAATATTTAAAAGTAAACATATTTCTCTGCCCTGACTCACCAGAAAGAAGGCAATTAGTAACTCAGGATCAGGAGATACCCCTCACATTGCCATGTTATAGGTTGGAGGGTGCTGATTCAAAACGATGCTGTGTAACTGACAAGTTCTGAAATTAGTTTCTCGCTTCAGGACATACTCTTCTTAAGAGGCAATGCAGTTTCCCTACCTCAGCCACCATGAAGCAAGCCAGCTTATGAGTGAAAATGACAATGGGTTAAAAGCTGGTGAAGAAATAGGAAAAGACATAGTAGTGAATGGTTGCTCATCAGAATGGAGGGGGTAGAGATAGGAGTGATGGCCTTTAAACACATTCATTAATAATTTGGGGAAGGAAGTGAAGTGCAAGTTTGTGTATGATGCAATATTGTTCCAGTTGCAAAACATCATGAAGAAATGAGAGGAACTCTAGATGAATTTAAAACACAGTGTAAGGGCAATAAAGGGAGGGAGATGGGACAGACTTCTTGTAATTGTACTGTGAGTAAATTTCATCGGTCTTTACGAAACTTTATTTCCGAAATATTTTGCATTAAGGAAACACTAATTCTGCTAAAGATTTCTGCAGAGCATGCCAGTATCAGTAAAGGAATATTAACATCCTTAAATGTTTATTCAGAATTAGAATAATTAGGAATGATTTCTGATGGAGGAAAAATGGAGTTTCTGGGTCTTAGTGAAACAGTATGATAATTCTGAAACCTGCAACAGGAAGTCAGAGGCAAAAAAAAAAGTGGAGTGTCACTTCATGTAAAATTGCCTTCATACCTTTATTAACAACTTAGGAACAGAGTTATGGACTTGGGGTTAAGCTAGTGAAAAAGAAGGGAAATGAGTAGAATCTGGTATGGCTATTGATATTTTATTTTAGTTTTTGGATATTGATATTTTATTTTATTTTTTTAAGATTTTATTTATTTGACAGAGAGGGAGGGAGAGAGCACAAGCAGGGGGAGTGGCAGGCAGAGGGAGAAGCAGACTCCCTGTTGAGCAAGGAGCCCCATGAGGGACTCCATCCCAGAACCTTGGGATCATGACCTGAGCTGAAGGCGGATGCCTAACCAACTGAGCCACCTAGGCGTCCCTTGGATATTGATATTTTAGAGAAAGGAACAAACCTTTAAACACCAGCTTTTAATTTCAAATTACAGGCTCCTACTAAAGTTTCCCATTCCTATTTTAATCATCTGGACAGGTATGATAATGAGTAATAGATAGAAAATAGAATTTTCAAAAGAGGAAAGCTTCAAGTCTGCAGAGTGGAGAAAGTAAGTGGACTAATATGACTCAATCCATTCATTCAACAGTTATTTATTGAGGGAGCTAGAAACGAATCTAGGAGAAGAGATAAACAATTATACAGATACATAATGCCATGCAGAAAATGATCAATGCCATGAAAAGGTACAAATAAGAACCTTCATCTGTGACAGAAAGAGACACATGGATGAGGCAACATTTGGAAGGGCAGGAGGAAAGTCACTCCTAGAGGTCTGGTGGGAAAAGTGGCTCCGTGTGGCTGGAGCTACAAGGAGTTAGGTAGCCTGGGCCCAGTCTCAACCCTGAGCACTTGCCTGAGAAATCTGAACTTTATTTCCTGGTTGTTTATAGCATTCTTTGTGACCTGTAGTGTCGCTTGCTTGCTGGGTGAAGGGAATGAATGAAGCCATTGATGTTTTTTTGAGTAGACCAAGTGGCAAACTCGAATTTTTGCTTTAGGAAGATTAATTTAAGTGGTATGTGTAGGAGGAATGAGAGAGATGAGACATCTATTGTAAGAGTTCCAGTCAAGAGCATGAGATAACATTTACTGTGCTAATCCTACTATGTGCCCAGGATTCTACTAGATGCTTCACACACATACTCTCAATAATTTTTTCATCCTGATAGTAAAACTTGGAAGAAGGAAGAAGAAGTATAGCATTCACATTTTATTGTTAAGAAATGGGTTCAGAAAGGTTGAGGAATGGGTTGCCTGGGTGGCTCAGTCGTTAAGCATCTGCCTTCAGCTCAGGTCATGGTCCCAGGGTCCTGGGATCGAGCCCCACATCAGGCTCCCTGCTCAGCGGGAAGCCTGCTTCTCCCTCTCCCACTCCCCCTACTTGTGTTCCCTCTCTTGCTGTGTCTCTCTCTGTCAAATAAATGAATAAAATCTTAAAAAAAAAAAAGAAAGATTGAGGAATTTGCTCAATGCCACACTAGGCTCCAACGTAAGTCCATCTGCCTCATAAGCTCATGCCTTTTTAAAAACAAAAAACAGAGGCGCCTGGGTGGCTCGGTCGTTGGGCGTCTGCCTTTGGCTCAGGGCATAATCCCAGGGTTTTGGAATCGAGTCCCCCAGCAGCATCGGGCTCCCTGCTCAGCAGGAAGCCTGCTTCTCCCTCTCCCGCTCCCCTTGCTTGTGTTCCCTCTCTTGCTGTGTCTCGCTCTGTCAAATAAATAAATAAAATCTTAAAAAAAAAAAAAAAAAAGAGTCAAAGTCTCTAGCCCAGGTAGCAGACCATGGCTGTGAACTCAGATTTGCAAAGGAAGATAGGGAGTTCAGTTTGGGACTTCTTGTTGACATGACAGCAAAACATCCAAATAAGAGGAGGTAGGTTCACTTTCTCCAACAAGTGTAAAAGTCACGCAGCGGTCCCCCACAGCACACATGGGAACAGCAGTGTCACTCCTCAGCGACAGACACAGACTAAGGCCGTTCTTCCTGGCTGTCCAGTCTTTGCACAAGTGACTTCTCCTCCTTGGCACATTCGTGCCTCCCTCCGCTGACCTTCAGTTCACTCCCAGGAAGGCCTTCCCTGACTCTCCAGTTTCCTCATCTTAGGGCTTTTCTCTAGTGCCTCTGTCCTTTTCTGTGTCTCTCCCAAACTGAGCGGCTGGAGGAGGGCTGGGGCTCTCTGAGGCTATCATTAAGTCTCACCCTCAAAAAGTATTTGTTGACAGACTGAATAATTCCTATTGTTGCCCTGGAAAACAACTACCCTGCCCTATTAAGTCACAGTTTCTTTCCTCTTAGGGCAGTGCAGCTAACAACCTCAAGACCAGGAAATCATCTTCCTCATCTCATACCAGGGTATTATTCATGCAGTTTACTCACTGTAAAGAGTTCCCTTGAAATAAAGCTAACAACTAGTCAAAGATTTACGAAGGTCCTAGTGTCAATCAACTTTTTAGCAAGCCCACTGAGGGGGCGGGAGGGGATGGGACCCGATCCTTCTTTGCTCTTTGTTTCCCAAATACACAAGGGGTGGTAAGAGCTTCACAATTTTTCCGTGGGAGGATCTCCCGTGCTGCTCTCATGTTGTAATTGGGGGCTATGATCCTTCTTTTGAACCAGCTTTTGCAGAGCAGTGTTCTTACTTAAAAGTGAAAATTTGTGTGTATGGTGGTGTGCCTTGCGGGTAGGGAGCACGCGGACGTTATTGGGGGAATCTCTAACACACCTCTTGGCTCTTTTTGAATAAGGTAGTTTTGAGGTCCTCTCAACTGTCAAATTCCATTCTGTTTTCTTTCCGCAGGGAGTTCCCTTGAACGTTAGAAGCTGTGAAAGTCGGCTTGTGGTGGGGAGCCTAATTCCCAGAAGGATTTGGGGATCTCGAGAAGGCTGGGGTTTTCCCTCGTGGGGTTTCAGGGCTGCTCAGAGCCACGACTTGGCGCCGCACTTGGCTAGCGCCTGGGCTTTTATGGGGCAAAGAGCAGGAAAGCCAGGACTTGGGTTCGCGCCTGGGCGGCCCGGGTTCGGGGCGGCTGAGGGTGGGGGTGGGGTGGGGGCGGGGGGCGGAGGCGACTGCAGGGACCCGGGTGGGGCGGGGGCGGGACAGGGGCGGGGCCGGGCGAGCCAGGCTGCGGCCCGGGGGCGGGGCCAGGCGCGCCGCTCTCCCCAGCCTAGGCCGCCGCTGGGCTCCGCCTCGCCGGCTACGCAGGCGGCGGGGCTGCGGCACGGGCCGGGCGGCACCATGGCGGCGGCGGCGCCTGCTGCTGCGGCGGCTTCTTCCGAGGCGCCGGTGGCGTCTGCGACGGCTGAGCCCGGGGCCGGGGCCGAGGACAGTCGAGAGGTCCGAGTGCTGCAGAGCCTGCGGGGCAAGATCTGTAAGCGTGGGCCGGGTTGGGGACCCACCCGGCGGCCGACGGGGGCCGCCGCGGGGCTGAGGGGGCGGCGGGCGCGCGGTGGTGGTGGCGCCGAGCCGTGCTGGGATCGCGGGGCGGAGAGGGGACCTGGGCAGACGGGGCCCGGGGCCCGTGCCGGGGCCGGGCGAGGCGCGCGGGGGGTCCGGCACGGGTGAGACTGGAAGGGGGGTGTGTTGGGGGAGGCGTCGCCTCGACGGGGCGGCGTGGGCTGGGGCTGCCCTTGTCCGGAGAGAGTGGAGAGCCGGGAATTTGCGTGGAGGGGGGCGCCCGGAGCAGCGCCTGCCTGAGGGGCTCGGCTTTGGGGCGCGGCCTGGACGTGGGGACGCCCAGCCGGGGGGGCGGGGGCCGGGGGCGTGAGGAGTTTCCGGCCGCCCTGGGACGCAGGCCTCCGGGCGGTGCGGGCGCCGGGGAGCGGCCCCGAGGTGGGAGCCGAGCGGTAATTACGGGAGGCGCGGCCCGAGGAGGAGGAGGAGGGCGGGGAAGTGGGGCTGGCCCGAGGGGAGGGGGCTGCCTGCTTCCTGGGCTCACGAGCCTGTTCGAGGTTGAAAAAGGCGCCCTGAGCTGGAGGAAACAGGCCGCCCTGGGACTCTGGTGATCGCCGCTCGGGGTGTTCGCGAGTGAGCGCGCCGGGAGGGGCTCGGGCGCCGACACCTGTACTTGCCCCACCTCGCTGCGGCGGGGACTTGGATCGAGAGACAGTGTGACTGACAGGGACTTAAGACAGGATGTAGTGGCTTCCTGTGAGCAGGTCTCAAAACACAGTCATCCAGCCCGCCCTTAACCCACTTAATTCCTTTCCTTCTCATGCATTTAATTGTTACTTTTGTGAGCGAGCCATATTAGTTGACTTAATACAAAATTTTTGCTCAGAAGCTCTGAGCGTTACAGTAGACCATTTGAATTCAGTCATTTGGACATTTGTTTTTAAAAAGTGACTCTGGGCGTCAGAGTTACAATTTTTTCACAGTAGTTTATTCAGAGGAAACGCCCTTTTTTTTTTTTTTTTTGCTATTTGTAAGATATATCAATAAAACGTATTTTTGCTTTTGTAAAAAATCATCCTTATTTTCTTTATTCATTATTCTCAGAATGGAAATGTGCTTCATCTTTCAGGTAAATAACCCTTAGTAAGAGGAGTATTTTTTACTTTGTAAGAAGAAAATCTAATTGCAATAAAATGGCTAACAATGATCTTTGTTGCACAGGATGTAAAATTTTTCTCTTCCTGAATAGTGATATTATTAATTGAGCTTGGATTCTCCCCCTTTCCTCTTTTCAAGTTGCTCCCCTCTTCAAGTACTGAGATTTTATTAAATCTCAGAGGCAGACATGTTAAATTTTCTCATCTTTTTGTTCCCAGAAGTAGTCCTAGGCAACTTAAGATCGTGAGTACAGTTCTCAAAACCTGGAAAATGATATCAGAGAAATAGATCTTGTCTATATCTAAGTTCCCAGTATTAAAATTACTTTCTGGGGCGCCTGGGGGGGCTCAAGTCGGTTGAGCGTCTGCCTTCGGCTTGGGTCATGATCCCAGTGTCCTTGAATCGAGCCCCACGTCGGGCTCCCTCCTCAGCGGGAAGCCTGCTTCTCCCTCTCCCCCTGCTTGTGTTCCTGCCCTCGCTCTCTTTCTCTGTCAAATAAATAAAATCTTAAAAAAATAGAATAAAATAAAATTACTTTCTAGGGTATAAAATCTTTTCAAATTTCAGATTAAGTCTTATATTTAATATTTACATATATCTAATTTAACATTTGGGAAAGCTATAAATGGGCCAGAGTTCCCCACCTTGGTCTAATTTTCCAAATTTTACCACTTTTACATTTTAGTGTCATTTGATGCTAGGCACTGTTCAGTGGAGCCTCACTGATTTATAGAGCTGCAGGTTATACCATGGAACTACACACACACATCTTGGAATTGAGAGTTAGGGATAGGCTGTTTCCAGAAGGACTTAGCTGCCCTGCACCTTCACCTGCTCCATAGCAAAGATATCACAAAAAGAGATATCACTGTGAGTGAAACTCATATCTTCAAAATACAAAAACACAACTTTGTTTCTGTGCCTTAGAACAAACCCACTACCCAGATTTGGAGATTGATCGTCCAGTTGCTGGGAATGATATTACCACTTTAACCATAGTTGGGGTATCGTATTTGTTATTTCAGTCAGTTTCTTGCTTTTGGAATTGCTCGGTTTATAGTTCAGGTCACTTATCTGCTTTTTAGAAAAAATGTACTAGGATACTTCTATATGAAGCTTCTCTGCACCTCCCTGTCCATTTCTTTGCCCTTCTTTTTAGCTGGTATAATCCAGAGTTGGTTGACCTTCAGAACCCTGTGAAGAGATGCTGTTTTCTGTTTCCCTGAAACTGACATGTGGGTTTTTACAGGGTGGGGGCTGGAGGGCTGGAGGAGTCATTAGCAGGTGCTGAAGTCACAGAAATGGGATGGTGGTGATTCTGACAATGAAGATACTAAGCAGCTTGAGGGTGTGGGTAACCATGTCAGCTTTCCTTTTCATCATACTGGGAGACCTCAGAGGAAAGCCTGATAGTACCCATTAGACTGGATATGTGCTGGCAGATTTCAGACTGCTGTTTCAGAGTGTCTAATCTGGAGAGTTAGAGCTCCATAGGGCTCAGAGTGAGCCTCAAAGGAGTATCTTTTTTCCTAGACCTGGATAGGACCCTTCAACTCCAAATGCTACCAGCAAAAAGTGAGGATAGATTAGATTTACATATCTTTAAAGTTCTAGAGATAATAGTCTACAGCCTTCTTTAGGGGTTTCATTCCAGTGTTTGTTAATTTTTCTCATATCCTTCACAAGGTGAAATAACCAGATTGACAGATTGGAAACGCATTTTGTGGTCAGTTTCAATCAATTAACATTAGCAAATCCAGTGTTGCTGATAATATTTTGTCTTCTATCCTGATCCTCAATTCCCTGAGGTCGTTTTAGTGCCCTAGGAAACCATGGCCACAAATAGTCAGCTTCCCTAATATTCAAGAGCCAGGCATGGTTATTGAAGTCCTAGAGTTGTCATGTGAACCCTTGATAAAGGAAATTAAGATACTACAGACTCCATCCTTTGGTGTGAACTGCCATGCAGTGAGTGGCAGGTATGCTTAGTACCTGAAGCACTTTTGCATTGCCCCCCCCCCCCCCCCATATACAAGCTAAAGAGAGGGGTTGGAGCTTTCTTCTTTGTACTTTCCAAGCTTCATGCTGTTATTTTATGTCTTTTTGGTTACCGCTTTTTGTTAAGTTTGCTCTCATCTAATTAAATCAGCTTGTAATCAGAATGTAAGAATGTTGCTGAAAGAGTCCATGCCACCTTGTTCCTGGGTTTACCTGCTCAGGGGAGACCAGAATCTGAGGCTTGGTCTCCTCAGATTGGTAAGGGAGCCAAAACTGAGGATTTGTGTGAATATTGAGACGTGCAGTACAGTGTGAGATCTGTGGGATCATGATGTGTCCCAGAACTCACTTGGTCTCCTTGGTATCTCTAGACCGAATGATGTAGGGCTCTTTGGCAAAGTAGAATCTGTGGGGACTGGTGAAGTGCTTGAGTTTAGAGGCTTGGTCAGGTTAGTGACCTGGATTTGAATCTTCTCTTAATTTTTTGTACCTCTGTATTCTTTTTTTTTTTTTAATATTTTATTTATTTATTTTAGAGAGAGAGTGCCCATGTGCAGAAACCAAGAGTCGGATGCTTAACTGAGCCACCCAGGCGTCCCTGTGCCTCTGTATTCCTGTGTGTATAATGGTATAATAAAAGTACTTATCTCACAGGATTGATTTGAGAATTAAATAAATCTCCTTCTCCAGTCATTTCTCCCCTTCCCCCCCCAGAGCTCCATCAGACATGGACCATCTTTTGGGAAGGAATAAATAGGAGATAAAAATTAATCTTTATCTGATGTTCTTGTCAACACTTACCGGCATTTTCTGGTGTACAAAGCTGATTAAAATCAGGACGACTGTGTTCTGTTTCATACATTATTAGTTATTATTCATTTGATTTTACGCAGCTCACTTACCTTTTGAGCTTATCTTACTCATCTTTAAAATGGGAATGATGCTTCATCACTAGCCATTTTGTACATGTTGTTCCCTCTGCCTGGAAGTGTCTTTCTCCTTTCCTCCACCCCATACTTACATCAGGGAACTCCTACACATCCTTCAAAAGTCTGCTGCATGTGATCTCCTGACCAAAGCCTTCTTTGGGGCAGGGCACCACCACCCCCATCCCTGGAGAGAAGGTGTTAGGCCCTTGTACTGCTGGGGAGTTGTAATTCCTTGTCCTTATTCTAGCACATTTTAGAGAAAGTGTTTATTTTCCCCATTAGACTGCAAGCTCTTCCAGGGTAGAATTCTTTTTTTTTTTTTTTTTTCCTTTTAACTATCCCATTGTCAGCATAATGCCTGGGACATAATAGCCCTTTAGAAAATGCCCTACTTCTCCCTATGTTATCCTGAGGAGGATTTGAAATACTAGATGTGAAACTGTTTTGTAAATTTTACAGATAAACTAGAAGATGATAGTATTGTTGAAAGAAAACTACATGGGTCTGTGACAGGAAGTTCATCCCTTTCAAAATCACAGTGCCAATTGAGCTTATGTTTGAACTGATGCCAAAGTTGCCTCATTAGGAAAAGGATTAAATTTTTTGAATGCTGTGAGTGCTTATTATTAGGAGATTTGAATATTGTTACCTGACTGTACTCCATGAATATTGTTACTAATTGGTCCTGAGCCTGGAAAAGAAAAATCTCATAATCATACTTGATACAGTAAATGTTTTTATTTGTCATGGAAGGTTTGAATTTTTTGGTAGTAAGGTATAAATCAAGACATTTTATTGATCACGCAATAGAATTGAGAGGGAGAGATTAAAAGTTTATTCATGCTAAGAATTTATTATTATCAGATATTTGAAATTATATGAGTTATTTAAT